ACACACAAACGCACGCACACAAAGTGACACGCACACACACACACACACACACACACACACACACACACACACACACACATACGGCCTCGCTCCCACTACTCTGCAAATGTGCAAAATGAGAATGGATCTTCCGCTAGAACATGGAAAGATACACCAGCATAGTTTTTGTCTTTTGTGCATGTGGTGAGTAGTGGAGAGAGACCGATGAACATGGAATGGAATGATACACCGACATATTTTTTTTATCTCTGTGCAGGTGGAGAGTAGTGGAGCGAGGGCCTCGCTACACTACTCGCCAAATGTGCAAAATGTGAATGAATCTTCCACTAGAACATGGAATGATACACCGCCACATTTTTCCTCTTTCGTGCATGTGGAGAGTAGTGGAGAGAGGCCGATGATCTCGTGGTGAATCGGTGAAAGTCAGACGATTATGAGCCTAGCTCCACTACTCGCCACATGCACAAAAGATAAAAAATGTGGCGGTGTATCATTCCATGTTCTAGTGGAAGATTCATTCACATTTTGCACATTCGGTGAGTAGTGTAGCGAGGCCCTATGTCGGGCACATTCATGCCCTTTTTATCGCGAGTTGTATATAGCGAACATGAAAACACAAAGACACACACACACACACACACACACACACACACACGCACGCACACAAACTCCAACGCACAAAAACATGGACAGATCTTAATCATCATCATCATCATCTTTTTTTTGTTCTTCTCATAAAGACGTTAGTCTGTCAAACATTTACATCATCATCGTCAATATCATAAACCTTAAAGAGTAGGCTGTTCTGGATGAATGGAATTTCAATTACGATCACATTCAGTCTAAAACGTGCTGGTTTGAGTATGCCCTAAGTTGTCCTCTCCTCCTCCTCCCTTTCATTCTGCTTCTGTCTTCTATCTACCTTTCCACCTCCATCTCCTCCCTCATTCTCTCTTCCCTCTTCTGGTTTTTTAGCTTGTCTAACGTCATGCATCTCACGCTTTTCACAAATTTTCAGTCCCGTATCAAATTTTGGTCTTCACTGTTTTCTTTTTTTTTGTTTCTTGTTTATTTTAGTCATCAAGGGCGCACGTGCATCAGGAAGTTGTACTTGGGATTTCCAATCGAAAGTCGAACAGAAAGAAAAAGAATTCAGTTTCAACATCCGCATCGGCGCATCCTAATCATTATCCTCCACAAGAAGAATAGTGAAAACAGGGGCCAACTGCCTTTCGTACACGCTTCGATAGTTCTTCCATACATAGCTGCGCGTACTAATCTCAGCTCACGCGCACATTCCCCGACGCGTTTCGATCGGTTGCGCTCCGATCATCCTCAGGGGGGTTCCAACATGACCCTGCCTTGCGGCCCGCCGACGATCCTCCCAACCCACTGAGTATGGAGGGCCGATACGGCCTTGCCCTCCATTGTAACCGTGGCTTCGAAGCCGGTAGGCTGGCTAACGATGGATTATGTCGTTAGCTTCCCCATCATCATCATCAATCATCAATCATCAATCATCATCATCATCATCATCATCATCATCTTCATCATCATCAATGATCATGAAATCATCAATCATCGTCAGTCATGAATCATCAATCATCATCATCATGGTCACGAAATTTGTCCAATCTAGGTCATGAAATTTGCCCAATCTAGGTCAGGAAATTTGCCCAATCTAAGTCATAAAATTTGGCCAATCAATTTTAGCGCATATATGATCATCCCGGTCATCATCGTCATCGTCACCATAATCACCAACCCAATGTCATCATTGTTCATGACTATCATAAAAGCCCGCCAGTTACTATTCCTCTCAGCAGCTCCTCCTCCTCCTCCTCCTCCTCCTCCTCCTCCTCATCATCATCTTGTCGTCAATGTCATCATCATTCATTTATAATAGAAGAATGAAAACGGGCAATCTTCGTGACGGGCAGCCGAAGACGATCCCACGAGGAAGGCTGGTCCGAGATCAGGTATTCTCCTGTCTTTTTCTTTCTTCTTTTTTTTAGGTGTTGTCCTGTATTCATCATCGTCACCATGCAATATCGTCCTTGTCATCATCGTCACCCCTCATCATCACTATCGTCATCGCTCAGGATTCTCATGAAGTGGCGGGAACAGCATCCTTATCATTTTGTTCCCGTGATTCCTGAAGTTGCGGGAACAGCATCCTTATCATTTTTTTTTCCCGCGAGAAACGACATCCCTATGTGGATCATTATGAACACTTGAAGACCGTACAGGACCTGTCTCTTATACACATCTAGATGTGTATAAGAGACAGGAGTTACGGGACACTGGGCCCGGTTCCCAGCAAGTCTTGCAGCTCCCCACAAATAGATCGGAGCCTTTGTTAAAAAAAAGAAAGAAAAAAAATGAAAAAAAAAGAAAGGACGTGGGGGGGGGTGGGGGGGACCTATGGAGGATTGCAGGCGAGCGGTCCTCCCCCGAACACAACGCACCCTCCTCATAATGACTGTATCAGAGCGGAAAGGCAGCCTGTATACATTCGTGACCTGGGTGCCCTTTGTTGAGGAATTCGCTTGTTCATGGTGTTTGGGAGAAGAGGGTACGATGGGTGATCCCTGTATGTCGATTGGTGTGAATATAGGGATCCCGATGGGCGATCCATGATGAGGAAGGCGCGCGGGGTTTTATGATCGTTCAGACCCGCGATGGGTTAATCTTGAAAACTCAATTTTCGTCATCATTCATGACCGTCGGGCATCATCATCATCATTCATTCGTTCATTCTTATAACCCATCCTCATCATATTTGTTAACCGGTTCCATATATATATCCTCATATATATATACAGGTGGGGCTTTCCTTCCTTCTTTTCCTTTCCTTCTTTTGCTTTTTTTCGCCTTCGCGCTCTGATTTACAGTGTGACGATATATATAAATATACACAATGTGACAATATATATATTTACAAAGGCTCGGCATCCTGGGGAGTCGGTGAAAGCCCGACGAAAGTCTGGCACAGCCCCCTGTTTCTTGTCCTTTTCTCCCTTTCTGGCTATGGTTCAACGGGAGGGGGAGGGGGTGAAGCAGAGCCATGAACACAGGCGATATATATATATCGTATATATATATATATATTGACGTTGTCCTCTTCTCCCTCTCTGCCTACGGTTTACCGGGCAGTTCTATTTGACGATATATCTTGACGATATATATATATATATATATATATGTGACGATATATATACGATATATACGATATATATATATATCCTCATATTTCTGCCTGTATTGTACACAGACCCGGGCATTATATGGCACTCATTCGTGCAGCTGCCCAGTAGGAACTGTGGGACGGTGGGGCGATGAGTCGGGCTATTTTCGACGTAACTGAATTTTTGCGTGCATTGTCGAATCATACTTTATTTTGGATTATTGACCGACTCTCGTGTGACACCTGTCGGGACAGAGATGCGGTGCGCCTTGGCTGTGGAATGCATCATCTATGCCATAGCCATTATCAATCAATTGCGACTGCCGCCGTCTGTACTGAAGGGTGTCCAACATTTCCTCACTGTACACATCCCTATCACCCAGATATACGTTGTCCCTWTTGTGCCCAAGGACGCTATCAGAACTGCATGATGCCGCACTGTGATGAACGTCCTGCTGTTCTTTTGACATGTGGACAACATCATGATGTCCTGTGTCAGGACTGTTTTGATGGGATGGTTCGTGCTAGCCGTCCTGCTGAATGCTGTGCTGGCGCAACTCTCCTTGAGTATCCTTGTGAACATCCACATCATCCTCACCGTAGCTGTCCTATCTGCCGAGGTGGGAACAGTTAAAAAGAAAAAGAAAAAAAGAGAAAAAAGAAAATAAGAAAACAAGGAAACAGAAAAAATATGTTGATCTGTGGGATGTGTTATTTGCTTTGTGACAATTGGATTATCTGTGGAATGTGTCATTTGCTTTGTTTCCCTGTCAGGAGGTTTCCTCCTCCTTTTCTTTACCTCTTTGCCTTTGGTTGCGTACAAGTGGGTCCTTGTGACACACGGGGATGGGGGCAGCCAGCGCTCAACCTGTCATCCACGTGGCTGGCCTTGTACGTAAGAGGTGATGAAGAGGTGGGGCTTTCCTTCCTTCCTTCTTTTCCCTTCCTTGTTTTGCCTTTCCGCTTTTGCACTCCGATTCACAGCGTGACAATACAGCCCCTCGTTGGTTGTCCTCTTCTCTCTCTCTGCCTACGGTTTACCGGGCAGTTCTGTTTGTGACGATATATATATAGATATGTATATGATATTATGATGTGTATTTGCGAGTGCTATTGCTGCGCGACGAAATTTGGTGGGATTTGAACCGTTCATTTTAACATGATATAATGGCATAGATTGATCGTTTTTTGGGTGTTTTGGGCAAATGCAGGTTTATTTTTTTTTAGCAGCTGATGGCGAAACTCAGCAGAGCAAGGAATACTCTAGCGATTCGGGACTTTGTGCAACGATTCTGGGCTTAATTACGGTCAGATTCATCCCTGATTTGCGGCCTGCCTGATCTGTTGCCGACAGGTGCAAGTTTGATAAACGCGTGGTCATGGGGTACGGAAGGCGACTTGACAGTTGTCCAGATACACATCATCTGTAACGGGAGGGGAAGAAGGGAGTTTTGGGAGAAGGGAGGGGATTGTCTTGAAAGAAAGAAGGGGCGGGCGATGACATCAGTCCAGAACAGGGACTCGAGGATTTCCGAAAAGGGAGGATTGATTCCGTTTGCTATTTTAGGAATGTAAATACGTGTTGTACTCAGGTCGTTCCTCCAATCTGCTGATGAGAGTGGATAGAGTTGTGGGGGGCTGAAGAAGGGGAGGGAGGAGGGGGGGGGAAGAGGGGTGTGGAGAAGGAGGAGAGGTGTGTGGGGGGGAAGGGGGGTGAGGACTGGAGGATTGGAAAGGCGGAGCGGAGGGGGTTTTGAGTGAAAGGGGGTTAGGGTAGGAGAGGAATCTGATTGTCGAGATTAGTCAGTAGAGGGATGGAAAGGAGAGGTTGGAATTGCGCCGTACTCACACCTGGGCTTTCCGGGAGGTATCTGAACGCAAACACGGCCAGATTCTGTCCGAAGAGTGCCAGTGTGAATGTGCCCTCTGAGTGATTTTCCAGAGGAAAAGAACGCCATCGGGTTTTGGAATTGGCACCACGTTTTCAGGTCGGGATGAGGCAATGGGATTTGAGGCTTCAACGGTCGGGATCGGTGGTAAAGGTCTGAAGCTCCGACGGTCTGACTGACAAGGCGCAGATTTGTGTTGAAGTCTCAGCAAAAGCTTTTGACTCTGAAGGGGGGGGAAAACAAAAGAGAAAAAACAAAAACTTTGGCTCTGAAGGGGGAGGAAAAAAAAACCCTCCGGACTTGACAGAGTGGCCAGCTCAACGGCAGAACAACAGCGAGTCGTCCTTGAGGATGAACAGAAACTGCTCTGAGAGTTCTGTGTGCGTGTGTGTGTGTGTGTGTGTGTGTGTGTATATGTGTATGTGGAGGGGGTAGGGGTGGTGGGGAAACGTGATTTGATTTGATTTGATTGATTGATTGGTTCCTTGTCGGGATAGTATAGCAGGGAGAAGGTGGAGGTGGAGTGACCACTGGCTTTTGACGAAGGCGAAAGTCCGACTCACTCGACGACCAAGGAGCAAGTTCTTTCTTTGAGACCTCTTGAAAATGTTTTGCCCGAATTGTTCGCCCGCTTTGCACACAAGGTGAGGGTTTGTAGTACTTTGTACGCATGTGCAATTTCTCGGTTGGCCAAAACCCTAATGTGAGAGGAGGCACAGCAAAGAGGGAGAAGAAATGATCTAAAGAACGGAAATTGCTGTCGAAAACCCTCGTGTAACAGGCAGAGTAAAGGGAGAGATAAAATAAGAAATGGTAGAAAAAGCAGGGTTTCAGTGTGCTCCTAATGTTTGTCTTCTGTATTTTTTAATCCTTTGTTTCGCAAAGTGTGTGCTCGTTTAGTTGATAGTACTTGATACGTATGTGACAGACAATATACTATGGCCCTTTAGTTGATAGTACTTGATACGTATGTGACAGACAATATACTATGGCCCTAGTATGGGGATAAAGAAGGAGAGGTGTAAGGTTGGTCCTGCCTTGTTTTGGGTAGATTTCTGCATCGTATTATTGCACCATATCAACGTACATAGTTAGTTGGACAATCATGCCCTGGTATTTTGCGCCCATGCCCTCGTAGTTTGTGGCCAGACCCTTGTATTTTGCTATCATTTGCTCGTATTTTGTGCCCGTGCCCTTGTATTTTGCTCACATGCCCTCGTATTTTGTGGTCAGGCGGTTGTATTTTGCACCGAGGCCGTTGTGTTTTGTGCCCATGCCCTCGCATTTTGTGCCCATGCCTTCGTTATTTGCACCCATGTCCTTGTATTATGCGCCCGTGCCCTCATATTTTGCGCCCAGGCCCTCCTATCCTATGGTCGTGGAAGAACCTTATCAGCCATGGCTATGGGCGGAGAGATTGCTGCCAGGGTTTAAGGCATGACCACGGGCACAATTGGATGGTCGAGGCAGATATATTTAGTACGAGGGTTTTACGACATGCGCACAATTCTCCAGCCTGGGAGAGGAGGGCAAGGCCGATGTTCGACCGACAGATTTGCTGCCAGCGTTTAATACGTGGGCACCATTACAATTCTCTACCATGATTCTTGCCCGTAGGATCGAGGGTGTGGCCTTCTTTGGATGGATAGAGTGCCACCAGGGTTTAAGGCATGGGCGTGGACATGATCTTTCGGTTGAAGAGATGGACAGGTTTTTGCCGTCATGGTCTACATACAATATGGGCATGATTATAGACTGGAGGATGGTGTCCTCCATGCCATGTGTCGAACCCCTGGCAGATGTGGAATTGTGTCCAATGGTAAAATATTGGTGAGTGTTTTTTCGGATATTCCTTTCTTATTACCAGCAAACCTACAGGAGTTAAGAATGGGATAAGCAAAAGCGAACCCTACAGACTGGGTTGCTGATATTTCCCAAGGACAATTTTTTGCTTGAAAATGGATGGTGCTAGTTTGTCAAATGCAGCAAATGCTCAAGCAGCTGCTAAACCATGCCTTCAACCACCACTCCCCCCGCCACTCAAAAAAATTCGGGGGACCAGTACCATAAGTTGATGAGGGCTACTGGTAGCATAGTGTGGAGAACTGGCAGAGTGGCAAAAATGGAGTTTGCGCCGAATCGGCACAATAATTATTTCACTGCCTAAGCTTTTTTTTTTTTTTGAATTTTTCTGATATTTTTCCTGGAAAGATCAGGACAAAGTTTACCGTATGTCAAATTTTCAGATTTTTCTGAACATTATTCTGAGCGTGAAAAATCGCTGAAGTTGTAGTGCTTTTCTGTTGGCCCATAGGTGGCAGAGTGGAAAAAAAAAGGAAAATGCACCGAATCGGCACGGTGCCCATTTCACTGTCTAAAAAACTTTATTTATTTTTCCCTAATATTTTTCCGGGAAAGATCATGACCGAATCTACTGGATCTCAAATTTTCAGAACTTTTGGTGTATTCTTCTGAGCGCGAAAAATCATCAAAGTATGCACTTCCCCCCCCCCCCCTCCCCTCCCCTCCGCCGACCTCTTCTTCTTCCGGGCTACCGGTCTCCGAAGGTCCCGGAAAGCCAATTTTTCGACGTCGGGCAGAGTGGTGGTTAAACAATTGGGTCCGAGAAAAATGCCCAACATTGGAGAAAAGTGCTTGGCAAACGTACATGGGCCCAGGCAACTTGACAACAACGAGAGGCTCTCTCCAAAACATATTCGGAGGCTCGGGGGAACCGAACCAAAATGGCTGGGATGGGAAAAAGGAAAACCAAACCCTACAGGTTGGGTTGCTGATGTTTCCCAAGGACAAATTCTTTTTGAAATGAATGGTGTTAGTTTGTCAAATGCTCAAGCAGCTGCTAAACCACCTGTACATGGGCCCAGTATATGGGTCCAGGCAACTTGAGAATAACGAGAGTCTCTCTCCGAAAAAAAATCAGAGGCTCGGGGCAACCGTACCAAAATGGCTCACAGCGCCAGCCAAAACGAAAACAAAAACGCTGCGCTGGCGTTTCTGCGAGGCTTGGCGCATGGGGGGAATACGTCTCACACGAGAGAGGCTTTGATGTACTGGTGGTCGCCAGTATGTTTGCCAGGCATTTTTCTCCGACGCACGGTGCAAGCGTGAGGCCACAAGTTTTGGGGGTTGGCCTACCGGAGCAAAATGGCGGGGGGGTGCCAGCAAAAAGAAGGCCCACACTGGTCGTATGCAGGGCGTTTCTGGGCTCGGCAAGGGAAGGGTCACAAAGTACTTGTGGTTTAAGCCTTCATATCCTATGTCTAGTATCGTGCCCCCATCGTCAACCCTCGTGGCGATTTGTCCATGCATGGTGCCCATTAGTGACGAGATGGGATAGTGAGTAGAGGAAAAGGCCCCACTGTTCCAAGAGGATTGGGTTAAGTTTAGGAATCTGAATGTGTTTTGTGCAGAGATGCATAACCCAGTTTTCTGTACCTTTCAACAAACACGCCCAGATTCAGGCCAATTTTTGTCTTGCTGACCCCTTGCCCTGGGGCTCATGTTCTCCTGTCTTGTACAAAGGCCTTGCGTCATCACACGGAGAAAAATCTCCAGAGGTTTATTGTGATTTTGATTTTTGAAAACATACATGGCCGTTCAGGCAAGGGTCCTGCTGGTCCCCGAAAAGGGGTCTCAGAGTCTTGTCCTGCGTATGTTAGAGAAATTATTCAAACAAGTGGACCCCCCGCAACCACGCTGCGGTCAAGGACGACGCCAAAAACATTTTGCAAAACACCCCAGACATCGGTTGGACCCCATCTTTGCAACGCACCTCATCAGACACCGTCCAACTTTGCAAAATGCCCCGGTAGTCGCCAACTTTTTGTGGGTGCAAATGCAAAAAAAGCGCCCAATTTCCAGGGACATTTTGACATATATCCCAACATATGGGGGTATTTG